GTTATAGGAACCTCATCTGATTTCTAGGAAGTGCTCACTGTCACAGGTTCAGAGAAGAGAACAAGGAAGGTCTGGAAGAGAGATGTCTAATTTGGTACTTCAGGGAAGGCACACACAGACCTATGAATAAGCTTCTATATGTTAGAAGGATGCCACAGGCAAAAGAAGGAGCACATGCAGGATGATAGTTCTGGGTCATCATAATCCAGTGGTATTGCCGTTTAAAGTGATGTGCCTTGTCACAAGGCAGAGAATATAGAAAAGATGAAAGAGCATCTCAGCTATAGCTGAGGATTTCCTATATTCTCATTTTGAATATGCCCAAAGCAATACTTCTGGAAATCTCTTTTTTGTGTCATATGAGGCAGGGAACAGACATCTAGTCTTTGAACTAGTTTAAATTTGGCTGAAAGTTGAAAATTTCTGTGAAGCTTTTGGTTCAGACAGATCATAATTTTAGATTAAAAATCCACCTTATAAAAAAATTCTGAATGAGTTCCTACTCCAATGCCATCAGGAGAGGAAATAGGAATGCAGTGTAATTGGAAACAGTCTCTAACAGTTCAAGTGCTGCCAAAATCGTCTGTAACTGAGTTGTACTTCAGGCCTATATTCCCTTTGGGCTGCTTGCTTGTAGTGGTACCAGGGAAATAGCACTACACTGGTGCAAAAAACTACTCTGTATCCCTAGAAGCAGCACAAAATTCTGGGGGTAAATTGACTGAATTATATACATTGCTCTTCTGGGAATGCAGAGTAAGTTTTACTGCAAGTTCCATGTGCTGTGGTTGCATGCTATACCTTTAGGAAATAAGAGTCTTGAGGGAGGACAGAGTCAATTTAATCATTATTTTGTTTCTTGTTTCAGCTAAACGGCTCTGTTTTGTTATATGTGTGTTTTAGTACTAATCTCGCAGTCATCAGATGCTTAATGGGATCTAAGGAAGTCTGGTGTAGAAAAGTGGAGTGCAAGCTTTAACACAGGCTACCCCTTCATCAGGTACTGAGGGATGATTCAATCCATCACTTTTCATTTAAAATAATAGACTGGACCTTGTTCAAAAATATCACTGGTATAAACAAATGGCATCGTTGATGGATCATTGTTGCTAATAACCAATGACAAATACCCTGTTTAGTTTGGCAAAGTCCTCTCTTTTAATCAAAGCTGGCAATATCAGGATAAAAGGACACCTGTCAGTAGCTGATAGATATTCTTATGAAATGTGTTCCTAAAGTGCCAAATCCTATCCTTTTCTATTAGAACTGTAACTCTTTGGATGTTGATTAATTTTCAGCTAGATTCTAAGATGCCTTCTTCTAGCACACTGATGATTGGTCAGATCTGGAAGCAGTACCTGAGTCATCGCAGCTTGCAAGTCAGCATTTTACGGAAATTTCAATTTAGGATCTGTTTGTCTCAAAGCATTATTAGCAAAGGTAAAACTGGAGCTGCTGAAGAAGCAGAGTATACATTGGTGTCATGGAGAAAGAGCTGACTGCCTGATGCAGGAGTCTTCCCCTAGGTCAGGTCACCTTCCCTGGAAATCAAATCCCTACAATTACAGTTGCTGGGCTGCTTTTGTACTGTACTAAGATTGAGAGGTATGGTGTGTCATGCTTTGTGAACCAGCCTGAGAATTAGAATGCACCATTAAAAAATAAGTTTCACAGTGCTAATTTTTCATTGCCTCAGACTCATTTTCTCCATAGGGATAGGAAGACCATTTGCATACGCATTGATTAAATTGAATGCATTTTCTATTTTAGATGTATTCACTCTGAATTGTTATATATAATATAACAATGTTATATATAATTCACTTTGAATTGCCATTTTAATACAGACTCTGCAGGGTCCTGGGGGAAAGCCAACAATCACAAAGTATATCTAGATCATTAAAAATAATTTAAGAGTGCTGGAAAAGAAATGTACAAGTGTTTGCAGGGTGGTCCATATTTACTCTGTGGTAATGATAAATAATTGTTGGTTTTCTCAGTTTATAGGTCAAAAAGCAGGTTTTAAATATGTCAGCCATCAGTCTGGGCTCTGTAAAAATAAACTGATATTTGCCTAACATTTAGTCCTTGTTACCACAACTTCAAGCTTCTCACATTAATTAATCTGTTGGACCCCTAAAAGTCCACTTAAGGTAGGTAAATCTTGTATCCATACTACTGGTGGAGGGCTAAAGTGTAGGGCAGGCTGCAAGTAGCTGACAGAAAGTACCTATAAAAAAAGGGCTCATAGACAATCTTCAATTCTTAATCTCAGAAGATCATTAAATCTCCTTGATGTTTAAATCACTCTAGGTGATTTCTTCATTGATCAACTGTCTCTGACTGAATTGACCATGTCTTCTGAAGCCAAACACGGTTTATTATCTTTGATATTTTGGGAACATCAAAGGGGTTTGGCTGAAAAGATTAAAGGTCTGTTGATCACTAATAATTTCCTAATATTTTTTATGTGCTTAGGGATCACGTAATCTGCTGCTGGAATACACCCACGTGAGCTGGAAAGCAGTGGCTGTCAGAAAGCTCAGATCACTATAACTTGACAGTTTAGAGGGGAACGTAAAAGAACTTTCTTTCCCATGCCAAATAGTCTTGTGGCTAAAATCTAGCTACCTACTGAGCTTCAATGGCAACATAAAGAAGGGCCACATTGAAAAGGAAAACTAAAGGTTATATCATTAAGGAAAGAGATGTAAATATGTAATTATCACATTCTTGCTTGGTTCAATATGCATGTTTTCCTGATCCTCAGCATAATGAAGGCCTCGGTAGGGCTATCAAAAAAATCTATATATAGAATATAGCTGCTAAACTCTCCCTTAGTCTCTGTACTCACACATACACTAACCCTTTTATTCCTTCCTTCTGATGTAAGAAAAAGGTAATGTTTGGACTATATAAAGCCAAATAGAAATATAGGTACTATGCAGTAGGATTATCCTAGAACTTTTACCTAAATTGGCTGATGGGAAAGCTCTGCAGTACTGTTTTCTGAATGGTAAAAAGGCAGTAAAGCCTTGGCCAGCAAAACTAAGAATTACAGTTATTTTTAGGTGGGTAGATAAGGGGCTTATAGACCAAGGTCAAGGCTACATCTTGATCCTCTCAAAGGCTAAACTTTAGGACTTGATCATAAAATTAATTCACCAGAATTGCCTGTCCTAAATACATCTCTTAGGTCATTCTCTGAATGCCTCCACTAGTTTAGTTAATTGTCAAGTGATTAAAATAATAAAAATTTGGTAAACTCTTCAGATTGTTCAGTAAATGCAGTTAGTGTTGTGCAATACTGTTAGACTGCAAGAACAAAATAAACAAATAGTCTGTATCCCAGGGGTCTTGCAGATAGCACAGCTATGATGTTCACCCATTAAAAAATCATTGGGGGAAAAATTATAAAGCATTGGTTTGTCAGTAAGCAAGAGTACTACTCAGAATTTTATTTATCCCAGGAATGCTTTATTCACTTTTAATTTAATCAAATCCTAGAAAACACACATTTTTTCCTCCCATCAAGGTAATTTAATGCATTAAATGTTTCACAAAGTATCAAGTGCATTACATATGTATGAGTCTCCAGGAAAGCCTTTGAAGGAAGGGTACTAATGTTCTTGTTCTTGAAATAATATCCTCATATTGTCACAAGTTATTAGTGATATTGCCATTTCTCTGTCCCGGGAATGGGGTTTTGTGGCCATTTCTCATCTCCAGCCATTTGTCAGCATCTGTTAGGGCACTGTAGCTTACATTTAGCACCTTGAAATGCTCTAATCATCGTGGCAGGTTCCTGTGGCAGAATCCTGACAGTGGGCACTCACTCAGATTAGGATGGGGGCTGCAGTGGGGCTGGCACGTGGGAAGGGGGGCAGTGAAGCAGTTTTTTCAGTGGACGTTTGCCCATCCCTCTGATCGGTGGAAATGCTTGGGCTGGTTATGTTGGATTTTGGGCAATTCCTGAACATGTATGTGAAAAAAAAATGAATTCAAATTTTTTAAGTGATCTCACTGTTAGAACATGGTTGAAATGGTTATTTGTTATGTAATAGAAATGTTTAAATTGGTCTCAGTTACCATATACCATTAGTTTAATTGCATGTGCATATTAAAACTCCTTATTTGAAAACTGGTTTCTAAATATTCAGTTTATAATGTCAACATCTGTTGAAGTATACAATAGTTTTATGATAATTAGCAATGGGAAAACCATAGAAGTCTTGAAGTTTGATTCAGATAAACAACCATATTTCTGGTACTTTCCCATCTTACATAAAGCTCTTGTTTTCCTGAAAAATTTCTGGTCCTTCAGGCCTTGAGGGAAGCTATACATGTGTTGTGATTCTGTATTTGATTCCCACTAGACTCCAAGAGATGAGAGAAAAATTAGAAGAAAATTACTCATTAACTTTTAAATTTCATCACAGAAGGGCTGTTCAAAATGCTTTTTTCCCTACTTCCCTCATTAGAGTAGTAGCTAAAGAGTTGGAAGACTTCTTTATGTTTGACTTATTACTAAAGTAATGCAGATTTGGATCATGTGAATTCTTTAGGGTTTTTTTGTTGTTTTTTTGAGATATTTTTGTTTCTTTTTTTTTGTTGTTGTTTTGGGTTTTTTTCTGTGTGTATGTGCAAATTGCATGAATCTTCAGAGTTTTCTTATTTGAACCCCTGATGTTCAAGCATAGTGATGAATGATGCACTGAAGACCTGTGCTATAACTATGCTCTGAATTTTTTTCTCAGTACATCTGGCTCTTTGGGGTAACCTAGGAGCTTGATCCCCAGCATCAGATATCACCTGTAACAAACTCAACTGTAACAAAATAAGTTGTAATGAAACAAGAAGTTTCTTACTGCCTGACATGAAAAGCATGTGCTTAGCAGTGTTTGTGTGATGATGTCAAGCAGGTTTGGAAGCGGAGCACTGCTGAACTTGGCAGTTTCCTTAAGATACTGTAATCAATCCCAATGTTTTCTCAATGCTAGGATTCTGCCAAACATCTGGCTGGGAAGTTGCCCTCGGCAGCTGGAGCATGTGACCATCAAGCTGAAGCATGAACTGGGTGTTACAGCTGTGATGAACTTCCAGACTGAATCTGACATTGTTCAAAATTCCTGGGGCTGCAACCGCTACCCAGAACCCATGAGCCCTGAAATCCTCATGAAGCTGTATAAAGAAGAAGGTCTTGCCTATGTCTGGCTGCCAACTGCAGACATGAGCACTGAAGGTAATGCTCATGTCACTCTTGCAGTAAATTAATAGCAACAAACACTTTGAGTTACTAATCTGTCACTTTCGTGACAGTTGTGGGGGGAGGAGTTCTGCACATTTTGCATGAAAATATAGCTGGAACACAAGTTATAGTTTCTTTGCGTGCTGTCTTTAACAAATTATTCATATTTTCTTGTAGTCAGAGAGATCATCTGAAGTACTTTGTGTCTGGCAGTATTATTTGTATTTGAGCTTAAAGCCATCTGACATTAAAAACTGCTTGACTATTTTTACTTTCAGCCTGAGTTCAGCCTATATTATGAAAACATGCTGTGTAGGTGGAAGACTGCAAGTTTGCAGAGCAGGGCAGCTTGCCACCTTCGCTGATTGAAAATGGAGAGACGGTGCTGTGTTGTCTGCTGTTCCCTTCCCAACAAACACTTTTTCTTTAACTGTAGTATACCAGTCTGATGAAACTCCATAGTGACATTTATATAATAGTTTGCAATTAACATAGCACCTGAGCTGTAGCATCAATTACTAGTACTTTTAAGTCCTTGGTTGGAATGCTCAGTTCAAAGTCTTGTTTCCAGCCAGAAGGTTAGAAAGTGAATGTGTTTTCAAGTGAGCAGCCTGCCAGCAGAAGTGAGCGCTTTCAACACAGTGAAATACCACTACCCCAAACAGGTCACTGTCATATCAGCAACAGGACATGAGGGAATCCAGGAGACCTTAAAACAGGAATTTGAATGGGCTTAATGTCAGTGTTCATGTGTGCCATGAGGAAAAGTTGGGCTGTACTGTTTGTAGCTCTGTTTCTCAGGACAGCCAGAAGAAGTGTCAGAAAATATGGTATGTTCATTCCTTTGGGAGTGAGAAAGGCTATTCTGTGTTGTTTGACTGTATGCTTAGAACACAGTGAAATCATAACTGTTTTAAGTTGTACAGTAAAATGTTCTGCTCTCCCTCCCTCACTTACTGAATTGGTGGCCTTCACTAAAATGTTTTGGAAATCAGCAATATGTAGGTACCTTCACAAACCTCTGATATTAAAAAGCAAATTTAATTTTTGGCTTGCTAACTTTAATGCCATGTAAGTTGTGCTGTTCTCTATAATGTGCTGCCTTGTCTCAGTTCCTTTGAAAATGAATATGCCACACACATGTGATGTGATCATAATTTAGAGAAGACTTGGGGCATTTTACTTAGAAATGTCTTAGAAACTACTTCTCTATTAGCAGCAGTGATCTGGTTCTATATTGCAAGGAAAAAAAAAGCAAGTTAGCCTAGAAAGTCATTTGAGAAAAGAAAGAAAAAAGTGGAATATATCAGGTCTGCCGTTATATTTCACAGTTCATCAGCCATGAACTGACTTTGTCCAGTGCAAATGAATGTGCCTTGTTTTTAACCTTAGGAAGAATCCAGATGTTGCCACAAGCTGTCTGCCTCCTGCACGGGCTGCTGCAGAATGGACACACTGTCTATGTTCATTGCAATGCTGGTGTTGGCAGGTCTACAGCAGCTGTCAGTGGCTGGCTGAGGTACGTGATGGGATGGAGCCTGAGGAAAGTGCAGTACTTCTTGGCTTCCCGGAGACCAGCTGTCTATATAGATGAGGAAGCTCTGAATCGTGCTGAAGAAGATTTCTACCAGAAATTTGGGCATCTTCGTTCCTCATACCAAATAGAAGAGTAGAAAAGCAGAAGAAGAAAAGGAAGGCAAAGAGGAATCCTTACATCTGAACCCCAGGATTTAGAAATTTCTGCGACTCAGGCACCCACCTCACCTCTTCAGATTATAAGCATCTTGTAAAAGTGATGAGAATTTTGTTTAAAAAGTGCCCTAGAGTTTTTAATTTGCTTTCTTCAAAGTGACATGATTCACATTTTCAAGCCTTTTGGTGCAATTATGAGACCCAGAAACTGCAAAGTGAAAGGAGATTTTCTTTTAACTATTTGCCTATAGGAATGGAAGTTTCAGGGCTGACACTAAACTAAAGATGTGAGGTGGAATAGAGTTGGCAATAAAAACTGACAAGAAAGAAATACAAAGATTGACTGGATTAAGATTCAGGTTAGGATGGAGCAGACCATCATCAAAGCTGCTCAGTTATTTTAAGCAGGTATTAGATTGTTGCAGTGTTTTGTAGTACTTCTGTAGACAAGTGGTATTGATGAGAAAGACCAGAAGGAAATTGATTCTTCAATTCAGTGTTTAAAAACAAAAAGCTAATGTCTAATGCAGTGAACTAAGATTTGCTCTTTGTCCATCTAGTTAATGTTATGTATTACGAGCTCCAGCTGTATTCTTTTATGACATTGGGGTTATGCTGGGCTGTGACATGAAGAGAGGACACAGCTCCAGCTGTGGCAGCCTTGCTTTGTTGTGGGGCAGGACCACTGTTTGTTACATTATCCTAGGCTGTGAGTTCTCTGAGTTGAAGCTGCGTTTTGCTCCTCTGGTCCATGCAGTGCTGTACAGGAGTTCCCTTAGGTGCCAAGTCAGTCTGAGCAGTAACCACTGGGGTAAGACAGGACCTGTAGGAATTGTGTGGTGCATGACTGGCACCACAGCCTCTGGGCTGTTGGTCTAGATTAGTATCTTCAATACAGCAAAAGCCTCTCCTTGTGCAAGCAGTGGGTGTGTGTTAGGTTTAGCTGATTGAAGCTAATGCTGGGCTATCTCTGGGCTGAATGAAGTCAATACATTCCTCTATATGAACAAAGAGCAACTCTGCAGAGGATAGTTTCTCAGGAGCTTAGCCCTAGTGTTAGCTTTGTGGGGATGATCCCTAATGTTTTCTATTGCTGCTTGGTCCCTTAGCTAAACTAAGCACCAACAGCTTTCAGTCCCACTCAGATGAAACCAATTTGATGTAGATTGAATTTAAGAGAGAATTAAAGAAGAATAGACATTAAGAAACATAATTTCTATAGGTTTATTCTTCAGTGAAATCTCATTTTTCCCAGCCAACTTGTTCCTCTAAAGATGTAGTCAGTGACAGAGTAGTTTAAGTAATATATATTGATTTTCTGAATATTTAATGGAGAAACTATTGGATATGAACTGTTTATGGAGAATGTCCAAATGAATATATTTTATTTATCCTTACTTCAATCGTCTTGAAAAGAGAAATATTTATTTAAGTTATTCTATGTGTGGTTTTGACCATGACTTCATTTGAGATTTTTTGAAATAACACTGCCTCTTTAGAAAATGGATGAGACAATAAAGACAAAATTACTATTCCAGCAGCCCATTTTGTCATGTCTCTTTGTGTCCCAATTTCACAAACAGCAAAAAGGGTCATAACCAATATTTCTGTATAGAAGTGGAACCACCTCTGGTACCTTCAAAGACAAAAACAGGTGTTTCTTCTCCTAGCCCAGAGCAGAGAGAAGAGGGAGTGTGTGAGTGCTTCTGTCTATGCAAATGTGCAGAGCTACAGCTGCCTGCTCAGGAGTTACCTCATTTTGACTGAGTTTAAAGTAAAACTGGTGAGTTTTTGCTACCATATTCTCCTTAAAATCAAGCACCAAGAGAAGGAGAATGGTGTGAGAAGCAGAGTACAACTTGCTTGTGTTTTACATTTCTGCTGAGATTTATTTGAAACCGCAAGCTTAAAATGTGTTTCCAAGCATCCCTGACAGAAGCCCTTTCCTCAAGATACAACTTGTAATAAATGCTGGGGCAAATACTTGTGGAATTGATTCTTGTTCTTGTACATATGTAATGTATACATATATGGATATATATAGTTTTAGGGGTCTCGGGACTGAGCAGTGCATAACATGGCATAAACAAGTAAGTATATGACTAAGTACAGCCACTATGTATTGGCTACTTCCTAATTCTGATTATATTACCAATGGAAGAAGACTGATGTTTCATTTGTAGGGCAGGAATCCATATGACACAGGAGTCAGAGATTCAAGGATGCCCTAGCAGGCTGTTAATTCATTGTTTACTGTCATTTCAGCAAGGGGTTGTTGATTCATTGCTTATTTCCTCTTCAGTTTGTGTTTCTGTTGAACTGCTTGGGAGCACATATCATAGAGATTGCATTAGCTCTTGAACTGCATGAAAGCAGTTCAACACTATCAAATGCCAACATCATGTTAAAAAAAGAATGCAAAGAGATCCCAGGGAGTCCCAGGGGCTTGCAGTCCCTTTGTACCTATTTGTAGCATCCTTTTTTCCCCTCATTGCTACCTTTCTGCCTTTGTCAATGAAGCCCTCTCTGTCAAGCAACACTTATTCAAAACCTTTTCGTGGGATGCAACGAGAAACTTAAATGCTAAAGAGATCATTGCAAGAGACTACAGCAACAGAAAAACTAATCATATAAAAATATTCAGTTTCTTCAAATGTATAATTACATAATAATCTGCATCTAGAGATAATATATTAGATTTCAAATTTGTAATGTGTTCTTATGCTGATTGGATCATTAGCTCTTTCCACAGGCTAGTCTTTTGATGTAATTTGGTTGAAAGGATCATGACAGGCTCTTGTTTATGTACTTGTATATTTCCTTGCTACTTTAGTCCTAAAACACTACAAAATTTAGAGGAAAAGAGCTCCTATAAAAAGAATTAAAATCAGATAAACAATAGTGTTTATTTTGGAGGGGGCCCAAGAAGCCCATAATAATGGGAACCAGGTAAAATGTTTTGATAACTCATCACAGAAGAGCATCAGTTGGGGAAAACAGCTGTGATGCTATTAGCATCAGTACTCTCTGCCCTGTTAGAGCCATGTTTTTACCTCCGTGAAATTAAAGAATTTGCTGCTTGAAATGGGAACATTTATAACTCCAGGTAGTTAGAGTATCTCAATGTCATTATAAGGCCAAAAAATAGTATATATTCTTTCCCAGGGATATGCACATGAAGGAACAAAGCAATTCTTTTACAAGTGATTTTGTAACAAGCACAGCCCCTTGAGGAATGGGTTGGGCTTTGAGGGGTATAGTTTTATGAATATTTTTCCTTTGGACATCACAAAAGTACTAGTGATAACCTTCTGCAGGACATTTTTACACTGATGACTCAAGCTGATGAAAGAGGACTAGTGTGTCTGGTGTGACTATTGAAAACCTTCTTTTCTCTCATACTGCTTATTTGCTATTTTGCACTTCGAGCTTTGATCCCTTTATTTATGTTGTAAGTTTATGATTTTCCATCTCAGTAAAGCAGCAAGCACAACAAAGCTCTGGTTGCAGGTTTGATACCAGGATGTTCTCCATGGCTGAAACGTCTCAAACCTGGCAGCTGAGTTGTATGCGCTGCACAAAATCACGTGCAAAATACTCTCTCTTCTCTGGAATGAAATTAAAATTTGAGACTGCCAGTCAAGCCCACTTGGGCAAAGGAAAGGAAAAAGGCTGTAGATTGTGCTGGAGTAGGTAATAAAAATCCGTATTTAAAACAAGAATGCAAAAAGTCAGACTTATTCCATTACCTATAGTGATGGCCTTTTTGAGCTCTAATCTATAAAACCCACTGAAATTACTAGTCTGTAATTGAGGGAAAGAAATCCAAAGACCAAAGCCAAAGACATTTGCTTTAACTGTATTGGCCTGTTTCTCAATTTATTTTTCATAATTAAATTGCAGTGAGATATTTCAAACCAATGATGAAGTTACAAAAAAATTATTCCTTAAAAAAATACACCGTGCAGCAGAAAACAGTGATAAAATACTTAGAAGCATAATAACTACGGAAAAAGCATACATTTGGCAAGCAAGAATTACCTTCTGGAAGGATAATGGACATCAGGCTGCTGTTAGCTGAAATGGAATTGGATTAATGCAGCAAAAGATAGCTGAATGTCTCCAGCTCTGTTTATATTCTCAATGGTAAATCACCTCTGCAGATATTTCTTAAAAAGTATTCTGCTGGAAAAAAATTGTGGTTTATTTTCCACATGAATATAATGTAAAGAGTAAAGAATGAAGCAGACTGGAAATAGTAGAAGTGGAAAGGAATTAATAATTTTTACATTTTTCACCAAGAGAATGGCATCACCAACAGCAAGACCAAACCACATGACTTCATAACTGATTATTTCTTAAATTAGAGGAAAGCCGTATTTTCAAGGGCAATGACATTACCATATATTAGGATTATTGCAGGATTTTGATACAAGTAATCAAAATACACATTGTTGGCACTTCAGTAGTGCGAACAGTGAACCTACAGGGTGCTCATTCTTAATTATACATATTTTGCTCTTGCCCTTCCTTTCACCTCAAGGTCTTTTATTAGAGTCCTAAATGGTTTATTTTTAATTTTGTGGCTAAAAATTTCCATATTTGTAAGAATGAGTAGTAAGTATTTTATCAAACCCTTTTTATATACTGAGACCTGTCTTATGAAGGAAGAACTGTTATACCCTGCAAACTAAAGATAGTAACTAATTTAACCTGACAGGATTCAATATTTTTGTGCTTAAATGTGTTGTCTTATTTGGGAGATTGAATTTATAAAGATTGCAGGATAATGTCAGTGATTTGATAATTACTTCAATGCTTATGTTGTTATATTTACAGCAAGGAATATAAAAAGCCTGTTTATTCATAAGCTAGTAAACTAGTAAATGATTTAGATAATGTGAAGAAAAAGCACAAAAAAGCTCCCAAGAATAAATTTCTAATGCTGGACAGGTTTCTGTGGCCTTTACTTAATGTCATTATGACAAAATTTATTTTGTGGTAATGCAGTTTCAGCAGGGAAATAATTAATGGTGAGGCCATCATCCAAGAGTAGCAGCCACGGTTAAGTTGGGCAGCCAGCCCAAAGTCACTGCAACAAATCAAATGCTGAAAATTAATCCAATCTTTAAAAATTCAATAAAATGCATAAACACATAGGTTAAGAATGAAAGACTGTGTTTAGGCTCAAAATGCAGTTTGCAATATTTAGTTGTATAAAAAAAAAGAAATGTGGAAGGGTAAGCTTTCAAGAACACAGATCAGTTGGATACCTTCTCCTGGGCAATTAACTCATGCAGTGCACTCAAGCTGGTGAAGCTTCATGAGCACAAAAATGGTTGCTGGTGCTCTGTGGTTTGGCAGCCACATAAATCCTTTGTGTGGTTCAGAAATAGGATCAATGTGGTTATACTTTAGAAGAGCTAACGGGAAGGGCACCACTTAAAGCATGCTGAAATTATAGCTCCAAGCGGAAGTCTAAACAAAACCACATCTTTATGGAGTCTTTCTCTTCACATGCATCTTGCTGAAACAGGCAAGTCTCTCGGATGTCTCCCACCCTGCAACACCTGTGCTTATAGCCAGAGAGCCAGAGTGGAAAATCCTCATATAGTAGCAGTGGCCCTGACACCAGCCAGACTCTACAGGTGAAATAGAATATTTTATCCCTCTACTTGAGTTATTCTGTTTCTTAACATGTAGCTAAATGGGAGAACTGCTATTCCCAGTGCCTCCAGTCACAGTGGCTGCGGAAGTGCTGTGAGCACTTGATCAGACAGTATTTCAAGTACTTTTGGAACTCTGTGTTAACATGGTCTAAATGACCGCCTTAAATTTCACTCAGAGTTTGTCTGGGTTTGAAAAGACAGGTGTCTGCTAAGGAAGGCAGGAGCCTCCTCTGAAATTGAAAATGTAAACCCCCTCCCTCCAAATTGCTGTAATTTTGAAAATTACAAATGTGGTTCTGTTGGAGCAGTGATCCTGTAGAAGGGTGTAGTCTTCCTCTGAAGATCCAGTGGTGGTGTAGATGGGCCTGGTCTTCCTCTGGGAATCCAGTGGAGAAGGCGGTCCTGGTGTCCCAAAAACTCAGATTATATCCAGGTAGGAATAATTGGCTCCTCCCCCTGGGCAGAGCACCTCCCAGTGTGATGGTGTAATTCTGTCAGTCATGCAGTGAGACTCAATGGCCCATTAACAGCAGATATTTCCCGGGGGGAGGTTTGGTTTGTGGAAGAGATAAAGAAAACTGCCCAATTAACAGAAGATAACTGCCACACCTCCAACAGATGGCAAATAGAATACACACTTACAGTCCAGGACAGTTACTTGTCCATGACTCCCAGATGCTTTTCTGCCACATGTGTGAGTATTGCAGCTTGATGACACTCACAGGCAGATCAGGGTCCAGCAATAAAAACCAGGACTCTGCTCAAGCCTTCTTGCTACCTGAGATATCCTGCTCATCTGGAACAAGGATGCATGAACAGATGCTGTCATCTTCAGCCAGACTTGTAGTTTTACTATCTTCTGGCACTTTCC